TCCGGCGGTGCAGGGTCCGGAGGCATGGGGGCTGCCTGAAGCCGGTAGCGCTCGGGCAGCCCTTTCCCCGTGGCTAGGAGTGGGAGGGGGGAAGGGGCGGAGTTGGGGCAGGGCTGGGGGTGGGAAAATGGGCGGGGCCAGGGCCCGTGGAGGGTCCTCTTTTTTTATTTAATAGATATGGTAACCCTACTGTACAGTAGACCAGTTTTGGTATGGATGGAACAAAGGGGACTCTCAAGACTGAATAGCGCCTGGGAATCTGTGGGTAGCCAAGGGCAAGACGCCATGAACCCTTGAGAAGAAGTGCAGAAAACCGTCATCCCACGTGCCTCTCAGAACCCTTCTGGATGTCATAGAGCATGGAGGATGATTTATGCTTTATTACCTAATCCTATTTTTTACAAGGACATTAATGCACATAGGAGGAGTGGTGACTGAGTAGAGAGTGGGATTGTCCTGTGTTACCACATTTTCGCTGCATTTTTGCAGTTCTAAGGTAGTTTTGCTCATCCCTCCACAGCAGAAGCTAGCATATAAGCCTAAGTAAATATGATCTTTTAAAATATACATTATGCAGGAAAACATTATTTTAAGTAAAAATGTAAATAATTTAAGTGTTTTAATTTATTTTTAAGGGACTCTCTTGCACATGATTGACCTTCAGTCCAGTTTACGTAAAATAGTATTGTGAACCAAAGAATCGGTTGGATGGAAAGCAACTTTGGTCTGTTGGGTAGGGTTGCCAGGCATCTGGTTTTCAACTGGAATACCAGGTTGAAAAGGTCCCCGGCAGTTCCAATCAGCACTGCTGACCAGTCCGCTAAAAATCTGGTCAGCAGGGCTAAAGCAAGCTCCCTGTCTGCCCTGGCTCCGTGCGGCTCCCGGAAGTGGCAGGTACATTTGGCTCCTAGGTGCAGAGGTGGCCACAGGGGCTCTTCACACTGCCCCCTCCCTGAGCACCAGTGCTGGCTCCACAGCTCCCATTGGCCAGGAACCATGGCCAATGGGAGCTGCAGGGGTGGCGCTGGCAGTGCGCAGAGGCCCTTGGCCCCTCTACCTTGAAGCCGGACATGCCGGCTGCTTCCAGGAGCCTCCTGAGGTAAGCACCTCCTGGCCGGAGCCCGCACTCCAAACCCTGCCCTGCACCCTAACTCCCTGCCCAAGCCGTGAGCCCCCTCCTGCACCCAAACTTCCTCCCGGAGCTCACACCCCATCCTGCACCCTAACCCCCTGCCCAGCCCTAAACCCCCTCTGGTACTCCAAATTCCCCAGCCCCACCCCAGGGCCCACACCCCCAACCGGAGCCTACACCCCAGCCCCCTGCCCCAGCCCAGAGCTCCCTTCCACACTCTGAACCCCTCAGCCCCAGCCCAGAGCTCCCTCCTATACCCCAAACCCCTCATCCCCAGCCCCACCCCAGGGCCCACACCCCCAGCTGGAGCCCGCACCCAACCCCCTGCCCCAGCCCTGAGCCCCCTCCGACACTCCAAACTCCTCGGCCCCAGCCCAGAGCCCTTTTCTGGAGTGGAGCTCATTTCTGGCTCCACTGCAGAGCCTGCACCCCCAGTCAGAGTCCTCACCCTCTCCCACACCCCAACCCCCTGCCCCAGCCCAGTGAAAGTGGGGGAGAGCGAGTGATGGAGGGATGGAGTGAGACGGGGCGGGGCCTCAGGGGCAGGGCAAGGGTGTTTGGTTTTGTGCGTTTAGAAAGTTGACAACCCTACTGCTGGGTCACCTAGTCGAACCCTGTGTGGTGTGGAAAGATTTAAATATTCTAAATCTAAATGAAAAGCTAAAGTTAAATTTTCTTACATATCTATATGTATAATCTAAATCCAATACAAGAAGTTTGAACAGCTGATCTTCTTTGTAATGATCTTTTCATTTTCAAAGTGCCTTACAGGCATTTTCCAATTAACCCTCACAATATCTCTGTGATATCAGCACGTAAAAGTTATTTTTCCTATATTTCAGATGAGGAAACTGATGGAAAGAAGTTACAGGTGTACTACAAAAAGAAAACAAAAAATTGAATTAAGAACAGATTTCTGTGCAGACATAGCCTTACT